CAAAGGCAACTTGGAGGGCTAAGAAAAATAATATATCTAGCCTGAGGAGAGATGATGGAACTATTACTGAGAATGTGGAAGAGATTCACGCCATCACAAACTCCTTTTTTAAGCATCTGTACACCAGTGATAGTATGGTTGACCCTTCGCGCATTATCCCTCTTGTGAAACCGCTTGTCAATGATGAAATGAATGTAGAATTGTGCAAGCCTTTTTCGGATCAAGAAATTAGTGATGTGCTTTTTCAAATTGGACCTCTTAAGGCTCCAGGTCCAGATGGATTTCCTGCTAGATTTTTTCAGTGGAACTGGGGTTTGCTCAAAGAGGATATTACTCGTGTCGTGAAGAAGTTCTTCGACACTGGTATAATGCCGGATGGGGTAAATGATACGGTTATTATTCTTATTCCAAAGGTGAAGAACCCACAATATGTTAAAGATTTCCGGCCTATCAGCCTGTGCAATGTTATTTATAAAATTATTTCTAAGTGCCTCGTGAACAGGCTGAGACCGTTACTGGATGGTATGATCTCTCCAACCCAAAGTGCCTTTATTCCTGGGAGACTAATTTTTGATAATGCTCTGATAGCCTTTGAGTGTATACATTCTTTGAGCATGCTTAAGGATAGGCGGGGCAATTATTGTGCTTATAAATTGGATTTAGCCAAAGCGTATGATCGGGTAAATTGGCACTTCCTGAAAAGCATGTTGGGGGCTTTGGGCTTTACAACAGGTTGGATAAACTCGATCATGGCTTGTGTGATGTCCGTCAAATTTTCAGTGCATTTTAATGGTCAGCTCCTGGAGTCGTTCACCCCTTCTTGTGGCATCGGGCAAGAGACCGTTTATCCCCGTATTTATTTCTTTTTGTGGCGGAGGCTCTTTCTTTGTTATTACAGGATGTGTGTGCTAAAGGAACTTTGCAAGATTTTAAGGTGAATAGGCATGCTCCGGGTATTTCTCATCTTTTGTTTGCCGATGACTGCTTGCTGTTCTTCAAGGGGTCTATAGATCAAGCATTGACTACTAAAAATATTCTAGCAACCTATGAGAAGGGGACTGGTCAACTTCTAAGCCCGGATAAATGCTCTATTATGTTCGCAAAGAAGTGTAGCATAGAAGATCAAGTGGCTGCCATGGTAATCTTGTGTATTACTGCCGATGGTTTTGAGGATAAATCTCTCAGGCTTCCGGTACCTCAAGGTAGAATGAAGGCAGGTAAATTCCAATCTACTAAAGAAAAGGCTCTTAAAATTCTATCGGACTGGGTAGAAAAATATGCGTCTTGTGGGGCAAAGAAAACTTTTATCAAATCAATTCTTTAGGCTCTTCCGGTATATGCCATGGGTATTTTTAAATTCCCGGCATCGCTTTGTGAGGATCTATCGCATATTATAAGGGACTTTTGGTGGGGCGACGAGGAGGACAGGAGAAAAACTCACTGGTTGGCTTGGGATAAATTGACTAGGACCAAATGTGAGGAGGCATGGGTTTTCGGGATCTAAGATTATTTAACCAAGCCCTTCTGGCTAAGCAGGCTTGGATATTGGTGGTTAACCCAGACTCCTTATGCTCCAAGCTGATGAAGGAAAAATATTATCCCCAAGGGCATATTCTTGACACAGCTTTTCCCCAAGCGACATCGCTCACTTGGCAAGGTATATTACATGGATTGGATCTTTTTAAATCTGGTGTTATTCGGAGAGTGTGTGATGGGTCTAATATCAATATCTGGAGAGATAACTGGCTTCCAAGAGCCTCGGGCCTTAAAGTTACCGCAAAGAAGAATAGGACCAGGATCAAATGGGTTTCTGATCTAATGATGAGTGGACAAAGGAGATGGGATGAGAATTGATTAGGCACCTGTTTTATCCACGTGATGCAGAGGAGATCCTAAGTCCGCGGATTCAGTCGCATGGGGACGGTGATTTTGTTGCCTGGCACCATGAGAAGAATGGGTTTTTCTCGGTTAAAAGCGCGTATAAGATTGCGCTTAGTCTAAAGGACCATAAAGATAACGAGGGCCAATATAGTGGTGCAATGTTGGGAGAGAGAAAAATTTGGGATATTATTTGGAAGGCCAATGTTCCTCAGAAAATCCGTATTTTTGCATGGCGTGTCGCTATCGATAGTCTGGCTGTCCAGGTAAACCGAGTTCTCCATCACCAAACCACCTTTCGTACCTGTTCTATTTGTGGAGTGGAAGATGAAAGTACCTTTCATGCGTTAGTCATGTGCCCTAAGGCATATGCATTGCGCATGGCCATGAGGGATATTTGGATCTTGCCTACGAAGGAGGCTCTCAAGTATACTGGGGCTGATTGGTTTTTTGTTCTTTTGGATCAATTAAGCCCTACTATGCGTGACCAAATTATTTTCATTTTCTAGAGAGCCTGGCATTTGAGAAACAACATGATTTTTGGTAAGGGGAAGGAATCCGTCTCAGCCTCTACAAGTTTTGTACATAATTATTGGGCATCATTTGTCTCTTTTCATTCATACCCAGAGGTTGACTCAAAAAATAAAGGTAAGAGACAGGTGGCGGGATCATGTTCTACTCCTAATCCTTCAAAAGTTCAGGTGATATGGCAACTCCCCCCTTTGAACTATATAAAGACTAATGTTGATGCAAGTTTTGTGGAGAGCATTAGTGCGGCGAGTGTGGGGGCGGTGGCAAGGGACTCTTCTAGGAGGGTCATAGTCTCCTCCCATGGGATTTCATTGGACTTTGTAAAAAGCGTGGAGGAGGCAGAGCTCCGTGCTTGCATTGCCGGTCTTTATATAGGTATTACTCTACAAAATCCAATAATCTTAGAAACTGACTGTGCGTTTGTGGTGGCGACCTTGGAAAATGAAAATTTTGACAGGTCATCGTTGGTGGATTTGAAGAAGGAAGCGATGAGTATCTCCAAGCTTATATCTAGTCTTAGGATCTCCAAGATCAATCGCTCGGCCAATGTGATGGCCCATATAATTGCTAAATTTAGCTTTGATAATAGACCAGATGGTATCTTAGTTAGTGGTGTTCCGCCCTGCGTGGTGAATTTTGTAATGAGTGATTGTAATAATTATGTTGGTTAATTAATATATGAGGTGGTTTTCTAAAAAAATATTGATTGCTGATGTTATCCATCTGGGGATTTATGTATTTATAGTAAGTGAAGCTCCGTCGTCCACACATACAGTCTGAGAAAGTGAGAAGTGTATTCACCGCTAAACTATATCATCATGTTTACATTTCACAACAGTCAATCAAAGCCATCTGATGTTGGTCTTTTACTTGGAACAAATATATTGTTCTTCATTGTGGTCACCAAGATGAGCAGCTAGCTACTAGTGTCACGGTGATTAAAGGTAAAGTTATCATTATGGCACAGTTCTACTTGTGTTCTTGACTAATCTCATGCTAGAGCGATTTGCCTGGGAAGACAACACAGAAGCATCTGATGCATATTGTACTACTTGGGTGCATTTTGGGCGCCAAGGAATGTAGCTTACAAGTTTCCATGCATAGTATCTTTTTGTTGTAAACAAATTCTGACTTTAGTGCGATAATTTGGATCGCAGTGCTTATGATAAGTACACATGCTCTTTTCAGACAAATGTTTTGAGACAAGAGAATTTGTAATCACTTTGGCAAAAAAGATAGAGAAAGGATTTTTATTTTTGTTGATATTGGAGCTCCATCACTCACTGCCACATAACGCAAGCAACTACAATGGTCATTTTTTGTGTAGATCATAAGCATGCAGATATGAAGGTGGATTTACGAGAACCGTTACAATAATATATACATTAATATTCATGTAAGCCATATGAAATTACTCCTGCCCTATATTTAGTAAAAAAAGATCGCATAATTCATCTTTTCCAATATTTACATTTAAACCAAGTATTGTGTCCATTGCAATTTTCTTATCTAAGTATGTAAGTACACTATGCAAAAAGTTGTTCAATTTATCTACCATCATGTTTATAGACTAAGAATTTCCGCAGCAACGCGTGGGGTATCATCTAGTTGTAGCAATAAGTGTGCGCTGATTTCTTCGTGTTGTGCACGGAAGGGGCAAGAATTCTGATGAGGCGGGCCTCTCCTGGCAAGCCTATCTGAAGTCCAGTTGTCCCGCAGTGCTAGCCAACTGAAGAATCGGCATTGCAGGGTAGCATTGGATTTCCACGTAAATTTGGCTGCTGGTGCGGCCCTCTCCAACAGAACTTGGCGGCATATGCTAAGCTGGCGGAATACTCAACGTCCTTTCCACCTAACATGGAACTTGGTGTACTGGAACCTGATCCGCCGAAACCCAGACATGAAAGTACTCCTGTAGCAGCTCTGGGTCCATATCCGGTCCAACATCCCTTGCCCAAGTAGCGTCTTGGAGGCCATCCATAACTGTTCTTTTTGCCCAAATCCAAGCAATGATTTTATCATAAAATCAGAGGAGCCAACTCTTGAACTCGCCATCCAAGGACCCATCTATCCTCTCAGAATAGGGCGCACGTGCCGTTGTCCACTGTCATATGTGCCGCTGCTCCAAATAGGGCTAGAGACACTGTTGGTATACTTAGAGTGAACTCATTCCATGGCCATGAATTGTCTGAACGCTGTAGCCATGGCCACCGGGCGTGTAGTGCAATGTTGAGCCACTTGAGGTTTGGGATGCCCAATCCCCTGGCCCATCTCGGCGAGCAAACTAATTCCCATTCAACCGCACAGGATCCACCTCGAGCTTGAGCCTTGCTGCACCATAGAAACCCTCTACATATCTTGATCATGCATGTCAGAGTCTTCAACAGTGTGTCCAACACAAGCATTGAGTGAATAGGTGGTATGGCACATAGAAAAAAATTCAGGAAAGGTATGGCACATAGAAATGATTGCACTAGAAGGAGGCGCCCACACTTGGGCATCATCGCCACACGCCATGTGGGCAAGTGAGCCGCTAGCTGAGCCACAAGACCATCAAACTGGGTTGCCGTTTTCTTCCTTGTGGACAATGGCAATCCCAAATACTTGCACGGGAAGCTTCCTACCGGGCATCCAAGCATCATGCATATCAAATCCATTATCTCCTCGTGCATAGAATTGGCAGCGTATGACTCTTTGTCAAGTTGACATGGAGGCCGGATGCCACTCCATAGACTTGTAGGATGGCTGGACACATATGCATCTCTAGTTCCATTGGCCTCAAGAAAATCATTACATCGTCGGCAAACATGGAAATCCTTTGTTTCAACCCCGATCTTCCGAGTGGTGAGAGCATCTCGTGCTCCGCAGCCAGGGCCGGCCCTGTGTTTCGGGAGGCCCTAGGAGAACTCAACGACATGGGCCCCTATGTCCTAAGTCCTAAGACCATATATGTATGTATGCGTGTG